CGCACTGCCGGCCGCAGGCAGGCTGCGGGGAGCGAGGCCTTTCCGCAAGCTGGTGCGCCCAGCGCTGTGAGGAAGGGATGCACCGTTCCCGGCTGCAGTTGTGCTTCAGAGCTGCCCTAGAGCAACTGACTCGTCTGCCCGCTTCTTTGTGCCCTACGACATGTGGGCTACTTTAGCAAGAAGGCTCGTATCTTAGAATCCTAGAGCACTAGGACTGGAAGGGACCTCGAGGGGTCAACGAGTCCAGTCCCCTGCCCTCATGGCAGGACCCAGTACTGTCTAGACCATCCCTGATAGACATTTCTCTAACCTGCTCTAAATATCTCCAGAGATGGGGATTCCACAACCTCCCTGGGCAATTTATTCCAGCGTTTGACCACCCTGACAGTTAGGAACTTTTTCCTAATGTCCAACCTAAACCTCCCTTGCTGCAGTTTAAGCCCATTGCTTCTTGTTCTATCCTCAGAGGCCAAGATGAACAAGTTTTCTCCCTCCTCCTTATGACACCCTTTTAGGTACCTAAAAGCCACTATCATATCCCCCCTCAATCTTCTCTTTTCTAAACTAAACAAACCCAATTCTTTCAGCCTTTCTCCACATCTTTCTTGAAATGCGGTGCCCAGAATTGGACACAAAACTCTAACTGAAGCCTAAGTAGCGCAGAGTAGAGCGGAAGAATGACTTCTTGTGTCTTGCTCACAACACACCTGTTAATGCATCCCAGAATCATGTTTGCTTTTTTTTGGCAACAGCATCACACTGTTGACTCATATTTAGCTTGTGGTCCACTCAGGGCTGGACCGAGCCATTCCGGCACCCTGGGCACACAGGTTAATTGCACCCTGAGTTGGGGGAGGAAGCATGGGCGGCCCTGCCCCTGCCCGGCATGTGGGAGAGGGCTCACAGAGCAGGCGGCAGCAGGATGCATGTACCTGGCTCAGCCCTGCCCGGCTACCGCTGCTGGCGCACAACCTGGGGCCACCCGGGGCAGGCTGAGCCTGGCCATTCAGGGCCCCAGGCCACAGGGGCAGGGGCGCTGCTGGCCTGCGCTGCTGGAATTAACGCGGCCCCTGCCCCGGGTAGCCACGGCAGGGTGGCAGCTGGGAGCTGCTGTAGCCCGCGATCTGGGAGCCGGGCGCGCGGTGCCTGTTGGCAGCTATAAGGGGTGCTGCACACCCCTTACAGCTGCCATCAGGTACCCCCCATAGGTGGGCGCCCCGGGCAGCTGCCTGGCTTAACCCATGCCTTAATCTGACCCTGGGTCCACTATAACGCCTAGATCCCTTTCTGCCGTACTCTTTCCTAGACAGTCGCTTCCCATTCTGTATGTGTGAAACTGATGGTTCCTTCCTAAGTGGAGCACTTTGCATTTGTCTCTATTAAACTTCATCCTGTTTACCTCAGACCATTTCTCCAATTTGTTCAGATGATTTTGAATTATGACCTCCTCCTCCGAACCAGTCGCAACACTTCCCAGTCTAACAATCTTATTAAACTATTGTGAAACTTAATGTTCTAGACAGTTTTTAAAACTAACTTTATTCTAAAAATGGATTATATTTATAAATCAGGGATGGATGTAAACTACAACTCTGGGTTGAAACTCTCTGAATGTTGGTTGTGAGTAGAGCCAGATCAGAACTTTATATCTCAGATTATCCTTATTGTGAATATTTAATTTGTGACTTTTATTTATTAGTTGTTGGCATAAAGGAGAGAAGTTCCTCCACATGCTGAGAATTTCACAGCCAGATTGGATAATTAATCTTTGCTGTTTATTTTCAGCAAGGTATTAGCTGTGACAATGTCCAGGATGACACAAGTGCCCTTGTGGTCTCTGACCTTCCTCCTACTGGCCTGTCTGCCATCAGAAACAGGTGTGTGCATGGTGGTGTAGTGTTGTGGTGTTTTGTTTTTTTGTTTTTCTTGGCTTTTTACTATCTGATAAGTGTTTGAGGGAAGTTATAAGCAAAACCTGCACATTGGGATCTACCTATTCTGGGAACTGCCAGTGGGATATGCCTGCAAGATTATAGCCTGAAGTCCAGCCTGAAAATTATAACCATCCAGATGTTGCTTGGGCACCTTTGTGAAATTATTTGGTATATTTTGGCTTAAATGTCACCTAATAAATACATATGCCCATTGTAAAAAAGCAGTTAGTATGATTGGTTCCTTATTTGCATGGATCACTCTCTTCTCACCATTAAAGGAGATCTCTGCTGGGTTGTGGGGAGAGATACATCAGTGGCTAGTGCAGGGAGAGAGCGTGTGAATAAAGGATTTCTGTCTCCAGGGCTCTCATTCTAAAAAACCTAACACCAGCATTAAATTCATAGTATTGTTTCAGTCTTTTGGTGTAAGAGAAAGAAGCATATAAAATAAGCTATTGAACTGAAGTTTGCCATTGAATTTTATCCCCCAGTTCTGAGTAAACAAAATATAGAGGTGCAAAATCAAGAGACACAGTTGACAGGCCTCAAGGTCATTGTGACATGTTGGTCCTAAAATGAATTGGAAATTAATAGCTTAGCACTGATGAAGTCCAAGGAGCCATGGAACTACCCATAGTTCAGAATGTTTGCAGTGGTGTTCTAGCTATGTTGATCTCAGGATATCAGAGACGAGATGGGTGAAGTAGTGTCTTTTATTGAACCAACTTCTGAAGAATAGCTCTATGCAGCTCAAAAACTTGTCTCTTTCATCAACGGAAGTTTGTCCAATAAAGTATATTACCTCGCTTCTCTCCTCCCTTTTGTCTCTTTCCTCACCTTGTTTGGATAGAGTCCTTAAGGGTGGTTTCACTCTTTTCTACACCCCTTGCCAATATGCCAAGAGGACTTGCTAACAGATGTATTTCATGGGAAAGTATATCTCACATCTATTGCTTTTGCATTGCAGACTCTCTGGCTGTGATGTCAGTGGACCTGGGCAGTGAGTCAATGAAGATAGCAATTGTTAAACCTGGGGTACCCATGGAGATCGTTTTAAACAAGTAAACTATAATTCTTCTTCTTGGTCTGGCATGTTTCCATGTCAGCAAGCCTGTGAGGATATACAGGCTCTGATAGAAACTCTTTATCTCTGCATCTTCTGTAAAGGCTTTCTATGCTCTTGGCTTTTGGGGCTTGAAACAGTCTTTTGCTGGAAGGAAACTTCCCAAGGGAATGGAGGAGCCTAAGATGTCAATATTTGCAGGACTTAATCATTGATTTAGAATAAGTTTCTGGCCCTTATGATTACGATAATCTTCCAGTTGTGACCCAAGTTTAAGCAGATGCATTATCATCTTCCTACATCTACATACTATTCCTACATACTATCCCAGTGCCTTTATTACCCAGATTTGCCAAATTGCCCTAAGTTATGCTAAAACTGGTTGCACTGTAACTGTTCCGAAATGTGTGGGCAGAAGTGCAACTGAAAATCACCTGTTCCACTCTGTTAGTGGCACTGGCTTGGATGATGGGGAGGGGTAAAAAAGCAGAGAAACTCCATCTTGTAACAGTCAACAGTCTAAAAAGGAAGATGAGTGGAACTCTGCTTTGCCCCCCAAAATTCAGGTACCTGTTGATGGAAAGAGGGAGCTTTTTTGCTTCCATAGCAGAAAGTGAGAGACTAAAAGAGTATCCAGCATTAGAGAGGGTTCAGAGAAAAGCCAAGAGAATGACCAAAGAGTTAGAAAATGTGTCTTTGAGCACTTTGAGTCTATCACTAAATCTATTTAGCATAACAAAGAGAAGGTTCTGGGATGATTTAATTACAGTCTAGAAGTACCTCATGTAAAACAAATATTTGATAATGCATTCATTAATTTGGTATAACAATCTAATGGCTAGAAATAGAATTTGGACAAACTGAGATTGAAATAAGGTATACCGTATATTCCGGCGTACAAGACGACCTCTGATGTTAAAAAACATCCCCCCAAAATCGGGGGTCGTCTTGTACGCCGGATGCACCGCCGCCGGAGCCCCTCCGCGGCTTTGAAAGCCTCGGGGGAAGCCGGCGGCGGGGCATCCCAGGCGCGCATGGGCTGCCCACCCGCCGGATGCCCCGCC